ACACCAAACACTAAATTGTGATGTGCAATTTCTCAGCCTTCACTTTACTCATGCCTGAAGTTGCTAGGCCTTATATGGGGTGAGGTTAAAAATTCCTCACCCCATGTAAGCAGTGATATCCGTTGGGATTGACAGATGCCTAATGAGGCTTCCTCAAACTGCTCTCACGCCTAACAAAGGAAACAGGCCATCTTCCAGCTGGACAGGAACCTGGATCGACTCCTGGTCTTGTTCCTTCAAGCCTTGCTGGACGTGAATGAGGAAAAAGGGTCTGGGTAGAAATTAGAGTGGTTCAGCCGTATTCTCTCCAATGGCTCCCCAAAACTTTCCCCAGGTCCTCAGTAAACGTTGGTGAGGAACTGATTTTATCATCTGACATTTCTTCCAACATAATTGTTGAAAAAGAAAGTTGGCTGAGATTTACAACGACCTTTCCTCACAAGGTGGGTGGTTGGTCTTGCGAAGGAATGAGAACCATTCCACTGATAGAAGCAGCAGCTCTGCCCCAGCCGACATAATGAAGGAAATGGTGGTTTAGAAAAATCTTAAAAATTGCTCAGAGATGATTACAGGTTGTCATTAAGAAATGAGGAAGGAAGGGCTTTCTTTTCGACGACAGGGTGTACAGCTCTACTGTCAGAAATTATTATTTTATATTTAGGCCAATGGTAGTCTGTAGTCCTTTGAAATGTAAAAAGCAATAATAACTTAAGTATCTGGTTTGACTTACAAAGCATCAAGATAGATTACACGGGCCATATAAAAAACCTGGCTCTGTCCTTTACAACATTTTGTATTTCCGGTTTCTGAAGTCACTGCTATATTGATTGAGTGCCTGCTCTGTGTAGGACACCTGCCATGGTGGATTCAGAGAGTAACAGACCATGGAGATCTAACTGGGTTCATCATCCGGAGGAGGGGGAGAGTAAGCCTTGGGGAGAGTAAGCAATGCACGCACTGAGTCGCAGAACAACAGGGACCACAGGCCATGCAGATTTCACAGGAGGTGGGGATCTGGGAGCTGAAGCAGCTTCCCAGAAGCAGGAGAAGAGAATTCCTAAAATCACACAGGCATGAAAATAACCGTGGTTCCACACAACAAACAAAGTAACGTGGTTGCAACGTGAAATTTGCACGTTTGTTCTTGATTAGATCTTTGAGAGCGTGAGTGGGGAAATCACCTACAGTAAAGACATCCTGCAGTGAGCTTCACTCCTAATCCGGGGTTTCATTTCGTGCCTTTCCTCTCACATCCTCCACACCTGCTGAAATAGCTGAAGCACGGGAAGGGCATGTTTTAGTGTGCTGAAGGGCAGCCTGCTCACATACAAGTGTATATGCATCCTGACTTCATTTGGACAGAACCATCAGAGAAGTATAGTTACGCTTTAGATTTGGAGGTGAAAACTACGAACCAATGAAATCCACTTTTGTGTTCCATTTCCTTATTCTAGTGAGGTGTGAAAAGGCTTCTGGAAGTAGCAGCAGCTTCTGTTTCGGCTTGACTGCTGTGAATTCCTGAGCCCAGCCCTGAGAAAGAGTAACCATGTTTGTGGGGCCACTATACAGTGCAGTGTATGCTGCTCGGGCGATGGGTGTGCCGGGATCTCACAAATCTCCACTAGAGAACTTTCTCCTGTAACCAAATACCACCTGCACCCCAATAACTCATGGAAAAACAGAATTTTTTAAAGATGAAAAAAGATTCCAAAATAAAATAGCAGTTATGAGTTTAAAGGACCTGTCTCACGGTTTCATATCACACTGATGAGCAACCAAGAGACTCTCATCACCCTCAGAATAAACACCAAAAAGTCACACAGGCAGGAACTAGCTGTTGTCAGATTTCCTGAATTTGCTTTGACATGGCACAGTAAAATGCTTATATTATTTAACACATGGCCATTTTATATTTACCAATTCTATGAAGTGGGAAACAATCGCAACTATAAATTTTTATTTCAAAAGAGAATATTATTCCAGAGAATAAAGAATTAAAGCTTTAAGACCACATTACTACTTCTTTTTTTCTGAGACAGAATTTTGCTCTTGTCATCCAGGCTGGAGTCAATGGTACAATCTTGGCTCACTGCAACCTCCGCCTCCCAGGTTCAAGCGATTCTCCTGCCCCAGCTTCCCAAGTAGCTGGCATTACAGGCATGTGCCACCACACCAGGCTAACTTTTTGTATTTAGTAGAGATGGGGTTTCACTATTTTGGTCAGGCTGGTCTCGAACTCCTGGCCTCAAGTTATTCGCCTGCATTGGCATCCCAAAGTGCTGGGATTATAGGCATGAGCCACCACGCCCAGCCAAAATCTGTTTTCTGATACCTAAAAGTAAAACCTTAAGAATTATCCACCTGTCTGTCTCAGGATAAATTTGTTAAGTGTCTATTCTATGCCACGTTCTGGACTAAGTGTTAGAGACAAAAAGATTTTTTAAAAAAGCTTAACATACGGCTCCTGCCTTTAAAGAACTAACTAAAAATAAATACCTTCTTAAGAGTCTCTTCACACTTAAGTTGTATTTAAATAACTTAAATATAAAAATACCAGTAGATTGAAAAAGACTTAAAGGCTTTCATGACCAGGTTGAAAATTAAAGTGTATTAAAAGGAGAGAGAATGAAATAAAAGGGAATTAGAACAGACCAGCTCATTACTCATAAAAAGAAATGAACTTCTGATATGGATGGGTCTTGAAAATACTATGCTGAGTGAAATACGTCAAACACAAAAGGATAAATATTAGATAATTCCACTGATACAAAATATCTAGTAAATTCCAGGAGGGAAATGGGCAAATTCATACAGATAGAAAATAGATTAAAAGTTATTGAAGACAGGACAAGAGGAGATCAGAGAGTTACTACTTAATGGTTACAGAACTTTTGGTTGGGGTGATAAAAACTTACAAAAATAGTGCTGATGGTTGCCTAACGTGAATATAACTAATGTAACTGAATTGTATACTTAAAATGGTTAAAATGGCAAATTTTATGTTATGTATATTTTACTGCAGTTTAAAAAGTGAATAATATTATATACCAAAAACCACTGAATTGCGTACTTTAAATGGTAAATTGTGTGGCATGTGAATTATACCTCAATGCACTGATTTTTTAAAAAAAATCTCTTACATGTTAGCATAGTACTTTGTTACCTTATAAAGCTCTGAATATTGTTACAGAAATTTGTCAAATTTATCAGGAAAGTATGAGATAAGAGAGAAAATGTTACATTAAATGGCTGGGCTCAGTGGCTTATCCTGTAATCCCAAGGAGAGAAGGCCTCTTTGGAAGGCCAAGGCAGGTGGATCACCTGAGGTCAGGAGTTCAAGGCCAGCCTGGACAACATGGTCCAGGCTGTCTCTACTGAAAATACAAAAATTAGCTGGGCGTGGTGGCACACGCCTGTAATCCCAGCTACTCAGAAGGCTGAGGTACAAGAATCACTTGGACCCTGGAGGCGGAGGTTGCAGTGAGC